GTTTTAGTAATTTATTGCTCCTCAGATGCAAGTTCACTTGATATGAGCTTCTTAAATTGTACAATATATTTTGTGATGAGGAAAATGCTAGCTAGCCTCTCATAAATCACATATCTGAAATATTCAATTCATTTGAAATTCTTCTTCCTCTGTCTTTTGGGTTTGGTACTTCTTAAGCAAATTAGAAACTTCCAGAAAGATTTAATTTGTTACTTGACAATGGAAAACCTTTAGAGTTATTTTATGAGCTCAGAAGGAGCTGTAATATGAAATATAAAGTAGATAGCTACCTTTTAAAAAGACTTATGTATCCTGATTTTGATTGTGACTACAATAGGTTGAAACGAGGCAAATCCCTCATTTCATTATTTTATTATGTAAATAAAAAATGGGTTATGCAGGAAGATTCTGCTGAGTTTTAATTTTTTTTTTATTCAAAACAGCCCATCATATTTTTAAGACTAATATCAAGATCAAAATACATTTTTAATACATAGGGCATTTTAGGAGAAAATAGACGCAATAGAAAAATGTTTATAGAGTTTAAATGCAAATGTTTGTATGATTTAACAATTAGGAAACAAGATGGAAAGAATATATATTTATCATATCCAAAATGGCTATGGACTAGATATCGATAAATTATTTCATTCTGTGACAGAAGTAAATAGTTTGGGATACTGTTCTTTTTTAGATAAGTTTACATTTCAAAATGATGTACTTAATAATAGCTTAAAATATAAGATTTTAGTCTTCCGTCTTTAGTCTTCAAGATCTGAAGTATATAGTCAGAGCTCCTTCTGGTATATCAATGCTTTTTTTTGCATTATTGTATAGAAAAAGAAGATTAAAAACAAGAAAAATATTACAAATGTCTAGAAATCAGCTCCATTTTTTAAACACTGTATTAAACCTCAACTACATGGACTTCTAAAACTATCTGCATTTTCATTATGTTAATCGGTAGACCCTGAGCAAAATGTGAACCAGATTGTATATTGGGGCAGCAGTATTTGTCCATCGTAAAAAAGGTTTATTTTTTGCTCAGGAACCATAGCTCTTCTTACACTGACAAATTCCAAATTCTTTGATATATAATTCATAGTGTCATATCTTTAAATCGTATTTTCATTTCCCCAAATCACATTGACTATCCAAATGAATATTAAACCTAAATGGGATGATAGTGGAGCAAACCCGTATTATATTGTGGTGGTACTCCCACAATCATTTTGTACTTCTAGCATAACAAACTTGAAGCCAGCCCTTTAGAAACATTTTCTGAGGTTGCCAATAGACATGAAACAAATCTTTTTCTGAATTAGCCTTATTTTAAGATCATCAGAAACATATTGAACATTTTAAAAGGGGATTGATTGGTTTTCATTTTTATGTAGGCTATTCCAATTCATCATTCCAAAGTTCTTGCAAATATTTTTTTTTAACTAAACTCTTTAATTGTCAATAAAAAGAATGTAGGTTTGGAATAATCTGAAACACTTTCCTAATAGAATTCCAGATACTGGTCATGCTTCTCAAATTAAGAAATCAAATATATATATATATATCAGTGTGCATGTGTGTATATACATACATACATATACATATATACCTATATTCAGTATTTCACAGGTTTTCACAATCTGAATTCCTCTTGCAATAAGTCAAATAATTTAAAGATGTGATTGGCAATTAATTGTTCTGAAATCTAAATACTCTTTAGCCCACAACATTCTATTTCCACCCCCACCCCCCAAAAAATTATTTGCAATTTTCCAACTGAGATAAAATTGTAAGTCTATTATGTGACTTAGCATTAGAATTATACTTCTCTCCCAACATCTTCCAAATATGCCTTATAAATGTAGTGGAAACTTTACTAAAAAGTGTCCTTGTTGTGATATCAGATTATTTTCTGATAATTTTCTAATTGTGCCCCAAATGGCTTTTAACTTGGTGACTAGGATTCTATAGAGAAGAAGGCACCAAAATCTCCTCTAACAAAGCTGAAAATAAGAACTGTACTATAGAGTGCGCACTCCCTCCCTCCTTCCCTCCCTCTCTCCCTTTTCAGTCCTTTTTTTAGAAATCAAAATTTGGGGGAACTCTCAGAGTTAGGTCAATATTTATCTATGCAGGTTGGGAAGCAACAGGAATCAGGCAATGGCAATAAGTTGAAGGATGCACACCCAAAAACAGAAGGTTTCCAAGATCAACAAGGGATCAGTGCATGGGCCTTGACAAGTATCCAGTGTTGGTGATTCATGACACTGGTATATGGTAGCTGTAGGTTGACTCGTGATGAGAATGGGGATATTTAAATTCTTTCCTACCATATCCCACAACCCCTACTCAGGTCCCCATGGGGAACATGCATGGATCCCCTCGTTTAATATATCAGGCCAGGAAGAAAAGAAACTGGGAAAGTGATTTTCACAATTTCAGTGGAGCAACCACTGTTTTAGGTTAAGGAGTCTTCCCTCTGATTTTAGCTTTCAAAGCCTATTACTCATTTGCAAGAGAGGGGGGGAGAGAAGAAGAAAGTATCTGTGTTGTGTGTAATTTTGCTATCTGACACAATATTACCTCAAAAGGTAAACTCAGAGATAATCCGGCCACCCAAAGCCAAGGCTGACAACACCTGATATTTGATTCTGTCTACAATCCTTCACTGTTGCTCATCCAGAATAAGCAAATAATAAAAGTGTGATATTCATAACCAGAATGAATCACTTTTTTCTTCAGTTTGGGATTAATATGTTTTTGGATTAATGGTGATAAGAAACTGTCACATTCCCAATAAAAGTGTTGGGAAGTTGCACTGAAAGTAGAGCAATTACTAAGAGCAAAATGATATTTCTATTGTGTTTTTTGGTCAAAATAAAGAGTTCACAGGCAAAAGTATCATCTATGAAATGAAAAAGCAAAACAATTCAAGAAATTCCATTCCTCATCCATAACTTGCTGAATTGCTACTTCCCCATATTTTTATGCTATTTAGCAACTAAATTTTCTTCAGAAGTTATTTCTGCTTCAGCAAAGATATTGATAATTTTTAAAAATCTCTGTTCTCTAAATCAACAGAATTGGCTCTTGAACAAAAAAAATTCTAAATACTATGATCCAGCTTACTAAAACAACCACAAAGAACTCAAGGCCTACCACAGACTTTATTTAATCAGAAATTCCTTCTTTTATATTTCAGGAAACTCACTATTGAGTGGAATATATTATTCTGAGGAAGCATTATTTGAAGCTATAGCTGCAGAAGATCCAGCACATCTTGTACTGAATTCAGAGTAGTGGTATTGAGAAATAAGAAACAAATAAGATTTGAAACCAGAGCTCTCCATCTGCAAAATGACTTGAATAGAGATTAAATTGTCTTTCAAAGAGAATGGCTGAAGTGTTTTGAAAAATCCTGAAAATGAAGCAACAAGATGACTAATCATCTTCAAGCCTTAAAAGGCATAGATTCTTAGTTTTCTTTAAAAAAAAATTAAATTCCCAAGGTGACTACTTTGGCAGGCAGAAAATTCTCAAGTCTGAGAAAGTAGCCAATCCCACATTCAGACAAATGTTACCAATCCTTATTTTATTCAGTTAACTGTCCTGTGGTATAGAAAATAGTATCTTATTGGCTTTCCCTGAGGATCACCAGCAATCTTCTATGCTAACATTAAGCAGGCTGCCTTTTGCTAGGATTTCAATTAACACTATTATTGCTTATTATAATTTTGTGTTTGTGATCAGCAGCGTGAAAAGACTTAAGCATAAACTCTTCACAACTTGAGTGATGAAAATCTATATTACCTTATAAATATATATTTGAACCAGGACAATGCACTGCCATAAATACATATTTTAAAAATTATTTTAAAATTTAAAATTTATATTTTAAATGCATATTTAAAAAAAAAGCCTGAAACCATGAAACTTCACAGCTTCAAATTACAGGAGACAATGTGTTAGTGTGCACCAGAATTAGACTTTACATTTCCAAGTCTAAGCATAACTGTCAGGAGTCTGGGAAGCAAAGACCAGGTTTTCAGGTTTGGTCTATAATTAGAAAGAGACACACACACAAAAAGAACAGTGCAGACTATTATTAATTGTGTGTTTTCTGGGCAATAAAGCTTTCCCCCTATGGTTTTACAGATTGTGTTTCATGATAGTAGACACAAAACCATAAGATACAAAATTCCTACATCAATGGAATGTTAAAAAGTATTTAGAGGGTGGCCCAAAGAAATAACAACAAAATCATTTAATCTGACTGTCAGCAATACATCCATAGATATGCAACTATACAACTTTTCTGTATACACATACTTTTTCCCATGTAAACATAAACAAATTTAAAGTCCAATTGAAATCACAGTCAGTCTTAGAACCTAAGACTGAAATAAAATGATGCATTACATTTTTATTAACTTTAATGGAGAATATTAAACTTGGAAATGCTTTATTCTTTTGTTGAAGTTGGTGGGATCTAGAAGAGCTTAACCAGTCCAACTGTGCCTGTAATTACCCCATTGGTTTCATTCCAGCCAAAGAACAATAGTATCACAGAACCTTGATACTGAAAAAGTTAAGAAGATTTTGGTACTCCCAACTTTCTATTTCAAACAGAAGCATCTGCACTTAGTCACACTCAGAATCACCTTGTGCAGTCCAGATTGAAGCCTTCAGCCTCAATAAATTTAACTGGAGCTGCTTTGGAGCTTCTGCAACATCACAAACATTAAATTGCAAAGCATAAAAGCCAAGGACTCAAAACTCTTATGTGTTCCCTTAACCCATCAAACAGTGCAAGATTTTCCTCCAATGTTCATCACACAATTCTGCACACAATTCACACGAGCAACTACTTAAAGTGTTTGAGTAAATTCCAATTATCTTAAAATATGCAATGGCATTCTACGTAGTGACCACGTTAGCCAAATTTATCACATCCCAGCCAGCATCCCTTGTTATTCATAGTAGCATTAGATATTTACCTCGGTTGGATTGACCTGCTGCATTTGATGCAGATGAAAGGGAGGACTTTTGCTTCTGCCGCTTGACGGTCATCATCACCTGTTCCTGGACCCTTTGTTTTCCTGTCCCTCTTGTTTTTAACTTGTGATCTGAAGGCAAAGCTAAAGTTGAATTGGCCTGATCTTGGAAGCACTCATATGCCAGTGCGGTTTTCAGTGGAGAGTGAAGCATGGTTGCAGATGGTGGTGCCAAGATGAATGTCACCTGCCTATCCTTTGAAACTTTAAAAAACAAAGCAAGGCAAAAACAGCAAACAGCAGCAAAACAATCTCGGTGGAGTATAGAATCTCAGGGAGCCCGCCTTGCCATACGGTCCTCTGCTGACAGCTGCTCTTTCTCCACACTCTGCTCTCCTGTGAATGATTGAGCAGGCACGCCCTCTGCTAGACTGGATATACAGCCTTCTGTCTATGTCTGCACACACCCATTGCTGTATTCTACTTCCAGAGCCCGAAACAGCAGAACAAACTTGCCAAGCTACTGCCCTTTGGCTCCTCGGGATAGGGTTGTGTTTTAGCTAAAATACCATCTATGGTGGCAGGTAGGTAGGAAGCAAAGATCACCACTAAAATCAAATTCATACCTTTCCCTTTATATTGGTAGCCAGAGTTACTAGTTTAAAATGAGTTCTTGGCTCTCTAACCAGCTTTTCTACCCTGTATTTTTCCTGCTTTATATGCTCTGAAATGGGCTCCTAAGTAGAAATTGGCTGCTTGAACATTAACTCATAAAATCATTTCAGGTATATTGTTAGCTGAAGGGAAGAAAACCAAAGGAGGGCTGATATGAAGCCCAACATAAGCTGCCTATTAATTCTGTGATGGAGATGGTTTCTTTGCCTTTCAATACAGGTTTTTCCCCCCACTCATGTAGCTGAATATTCCTTCAATAGTCATGATGGCGAACCTATGGCACACGTGCCACAGCTGGAACCGAGAGCCCTCTCTGCGGGCATGCGAGCCGTTGCCCAGCTCAGCTTCACTGCGCATGCACGCACGTGTGTGCCTCCCACCAGCCAGCTGATTTTCAGGATGTGCAGGGGGCAGGAGAAGTGAGCGCATGCATGGGGGAGGACAGTTGCATGCGCATCACTGTTCTATAGCATGGATTCAGTCATGGACCACTGTCAAATGTTAGTAGAGCAGGCTAGGAAAATCTACCCTTGCCAGTTCTCCACAGCTACCACATGCAAAAGCTTCATTCAGGTTAGAGTCCCAGGTTGGAATAGTCAGAATTAAGCAGCACAGCAAGTTGTAAAAGAAAAAGCACTTTTTAAAATTCAACTATCAGGAAAAGCAAAATCTGGTGAGAGCAACTTTTACTAGAAGGCTCTTAAGCCTTATTGGAAATAATGAGAGATGGAGAGGCAGAGTGGGAGAAATGGACAGTTTTAAGTCCTGTAACTAAACCTGTGCATTAGCTACTAAAATGTTTAAAACTGTTGGGTATGAGTTATGGAGAAGTTTAAAAATCTCAAATATTAGAGAAGAATTAGAGACAAGAAGCCACCCACTTCTTTTATTCCATATCAGAAAAGCTCTGCAAAATACATTTAGATATTCCTGATTTCAGAATGCTGCAATCCCACAAAGACTTTAAAATTCATGATCTCAGAAGCTATGAGTTGTGAACTGATGAGTTCAGCTCTGTGTATATTGGCACTTGATATCTCTGTAAGGATTTTTCAAAAACACAAATAACTGTCTCACTAGTTTCAGCATTTTATCTCATTCCTTTTAATGAACAAAAATAGTGGCTTAGGAGTGGTTTGTTTATTCTCTAAATAGATTTGGAAAAAATAAGGAAGTGTATTCAGGGGGGATCAGATCATAAAACTGGAGATCATAAACTATTAGAGAGATGTTGATATCTGAACATCTGCTTTCTGTTACAGTCTTTAAATAATTTGCACTTAAACTTTTTCCCTTCATGTGTTATTGTTTGCTGGTGTATATACAAGAAAATATAATTATATATAAATAATTAAAATATAAAATATAAAAAGAAATATAATTCATTATATTTAAACCAGATTAATAAAACCATACTTTAAAAAGAAGAAATAAATGATTCTGAAAAGTTGCTACTTTGACATTAGTAGCATGAACAAAGTTGTTTTTAAAAAGAGGAAACGGAAAAACTCTTGCAAAGATTGATTTGATTATGAGGAGCATTTTGCATTTTTCCCAATAATGTGATGATGGGAAATAGACAACTTTAAGTACTATAACAAAGCATACTCAGAAGTCTCCAAAGCAGATCCATTTTTTTACTTCACTTATACTCTTTTAATATATATTTTTATTAAAGAATTTTTTGCAAGATAAAAGCAATCCATATATTACAAAAGAAACGAAGAAACTAAAGAAGAATAGTAAATAAGTAAGAAAAATAGAAACAGAAAATAAGAAAAGGAAAGAAAAGATGCTTTAATACTTTTGACAGCTGTTAAAACACAGTTATATGCAGTGGTGGGATTCAGCCAGTTCGCACCACTTCAGGAGAACCAGTTGTTAACTTTCTGAGCAGTTTGGTGAACTGGTTGTTGGAGGAAATCATTAAGGCAGAGAACCGGTTGTTAAATTATTTGAATCCCACCACTGGTTATATTTCAACCTTTCACTCTAAGATTATGTCATAATTTCCTTCCATAAACTATCCTTTCTAATCATCCAAGCCATAAATCACAAGTTTATCTTTTTCCTTTTTTCAGCAAAAAGTCTATACGAGATTTCGAATCACTGATACAATAATTGATTTTTCTCTAAGCACGCAAGTTAACTTTGCCTCTCTGCTAGTTCCATCATTGTCACCAAGCATTCTTCCATTGTGGATATATCAAAGTATTTCCATTTTTGTGCACATGGTAGTCTCATAGCAGAGATCATATATAAAAATAGTCTTCCATGGCTCTTTTCTAGTTGTCTATCCATTAATCCCAACAAGAGAAGTTTTTGTTTCAGTTAAATCTTAATCTTTAAAATTTTTTAACAGTGTATGTATTTAAGCTCAAAATTTTCTGGCTTTTTAACAAGTTCATAAATTGGAAATACCCTTATACATTCTGGCTAATTTTTCTGGAGTCATATCAACAGTACATCATTTTATAGAAATATTCTTTTTCATTATTACAATAATGTGAATTTCAGTCCTTTTAAACACATTTTCTCATTTTTCCAACAATATGTTGTGTCCAATATTGTTAGCTAATTTTGTCATACCTTCTTTCACTTGTTTGTCCTCCATTTCAAATTTCAGCAAGAGTTTTTGTATTTTGGCGATTACATGCTCATCATCTGCATATAATTGAACTTGAAATTTTGTCTTTTGTTGTTCATTACAAAAAATCCTGTTATTTACCTTGAATTTTTGTCATAGCTGTGAGTAGAAAAATATCTGAAAAATAAATTGCTCTGCAGTGAATTGTTCTTTTGGATTCATCTTATATTCTCCATGATCTAACATTTTCAATAGTTAACAATTTCTCTTTACCTGCTGTTATTTTCCTATAAAATGCTTCTTGTGCCTTAAAGATACTTTTGGGCACAGTCTAGATTTATATCTATTCTATATTATCAATATAGCATGTCTAACAGAGTGATTTTTAAAATATAATTAGCCTTAGCTTAATTATACCATTAAAAACATGCCATCCAAACCTCAGATTGTACACTTCTAAAATTCTTTTATTTCTCAGCAATACCTACTCTTTTATTCAAACCAAATATCTGGTTACAGATTACAGTTTTAAAGCAGGTAATCCTAATCCTCCTTGTCCCTTTGCATCTTGGAGACTTTATATCTACCTCTTGCTTCTTTTCCATCCATACAAACTAGATATATATTTCTGCCATCACATAAATGGTTCGTCAGTTGCTAAAATAGGTATTGTTTGAAACAAAAACATCATTCTAGGCAGGATATTCATTTTTATAACCGAGATTCTTCCCAGCAGTAATAATTTGTTTTTTTCCCCCATCTTAACATGTCATTTCTAATTTCATCCCCTGTTTTAATTTAATTCTTCTGAAATAACATACAATTTATATTAGTCATAGTAACACATAGAAATTATACTTTTTCTCTTAAAACCAGTTTATATCCAACAGTTTCATTTAGTTTTCCATTTTTATATTTTTTTTATTGATATATTTATCTTTTTTGTTAATTTTAAAATCAGCTAAGGCACCCAAATCTTTTAGTTTTCCCATTAATATTTTCATCCATTTGCATTTTTTACAACTCTCCTTTATTTTTTTTCTAGAAATTTGCTTGCTTTTTGGACAGAATCCAACTAAACCTCTATTGTTTAAAAGTGAAGACTACTCCTTCTAATTTATTTCATTGAAATGATATCTTTTTTTTGTTTGAGTTTATTAGTTTTTTTAAAAAAACTATTTTCATTTGTGCAGTATTCAAATTAGGATTTCTTTAAATACAATAGGCATTATTAGTCTTCAATTTGGTAGTAAAATGTTGCTGCAACACTTGGCCTAAAATCTTCATCCTAATAAAAGTGCTCAGTACTGTCCCTGGGTACATTTCTTAATTTCACAAATTGTATGTTAATTCTATACACTTTGTCAATTTCTACTTCCATATCACCTTCAGTCCAAAAAGGTTGTTAAAGATTGAACCACCTTTTCTCTGTATCTTCTCTAGGATGCTTGGAATTGCTCTAAGCCTCAAGCAAAATTCTTTTCCTCTCAATTCTAGTAATGTCAGATTGTCTAAGTCCTTTTCCAGCTCTCTATTTATTATTCTCATTTTACCTTCTAAAAATTTCCACTTTCGTCATTAATTTGTTTAACTTATTCTGCAATTTACAGAAAAAGTTAAACAAATACATTCTTCAACTTTTGGTAACTTCTTTTATTTCCTCTTTTATCTTTACAAACCTTTCTTCCATTCTCATTTCAAAAGCAACCAGCTCACTTTTTAATAGAGTTTGCAGATACAGATACCTGCTTCCCCTTCTCTTCAAGCATATATTGTAATACCTCTGGAATATTCCTTTCTCTTTTGATTGTTCCAATGAACCTTTCCTTCCCACACCAAGCCTTGAAGCTTTTCTGGTGATCATCATGCTTTTATTTATAATAAAAAAGGAAAAATAAATCAATTACGTAGATGCAAGTAAAAGGAAAGCTTCTCCATTTGTTTTCCTCTTCTCTCCTTTGACACTATCAATTTTATGTTACACTTATCTCATTGTTTTGTAAATTCCAGCAATTTTCTTTTCCTGTTGATGTCAGACAATCATCATTCCAACAAATGTCTGGTCTATTTCTTTAATTAATTCCAAATAGCACTAAAAGCACCTAACTTTTATTTTTCTTAGGATCATAAA